TCTGCAAAGGCAATTTTAGGAATCGGCAGACAATTCACCCTTGCTCGTATGCATTTCTAGAACCTGATACACAGCACAGGTATGCACAGGTGCAAAGTAAAACCTATTAAATGAGATAAAATGTAAAGATACTTTAGAAAGCTTTTTCTAATGTTTCAGAAAAAGCAGGCTCACATTTCTTGCTATTTTTTTCTTCTGCTTATTCTTTCATCTTCACCTGTTTCATCCATCTGCCTCTTTCTCTCTGACACAAGGAAATTTGATGACATGGATTAGGAGTCCTGTGTCTCTCTCTGTCTCTGCTAGAGCTCCTTGCTTTAAACTTCCTCTTGAAAACAAGTTTGAAAGAAAGATTACCAAATGCTCTAGAATATGCAGCAAGACTTCCATATAACTTGACTGTGTATTTACAAATAGCCAAGGAGCTTGGGAAAAATCTAAACACCTTGTTACTATCCACACTCATGGATCAAAGTCCCTTCTTGTTTTCAGATGAACACTGCCCGCTGCTTTTGAATGTGTCTGGGAGAAGAGACCAAAAAAATATTCAGAATGAGGAAAAAAATGAGGAAAATTGTTGCCATTCCCAAAACCACAAGTTAGATCAATGGCCATAGGACCTGTTCCCATTGGTCCCTCCATTAGCCCTATATTTGGCTATATGCCCGTGGTTGCCAGAGCAATGGAGAAAGAGGGAGCTGCTCAAAATTGCCACATCAATTTGAATTCAGGTCTCTGGGGCTATTTATTTGAACACTACACATGTTCCCTATACAGCAACAAGCCAGCTGCTCTGACAACTTCCAAGAAATAAGAAATGTGCCTTGAGTTCCTGTGACATTTTATATTCCTAACTTTGCTCAGTGGCTGATGGTTCCTTCCTCAAAGTGACGTATTAATTGTGGGTACATGTAAGGGTAAGTATGATTGTACTCAGTATTTTGAGCTCATCATCTGTTATCCCATTCCTATTGTCATCCAATCCCCAGACACTATCAAATTGGAACGAGCAGCATAGAAAATTATGAACAAATCATAATTTGTTCATCAGCTGTGAAATGACTCAAACCACTGTTTCTACCCTTTGTATTTCCTTCAGTATAAAACTACTTTTACAATTTAAAAAATGCAATTTTTTGTATTTTGGGCTTACAGCTAGGAAGGCAGAGATGAAGCACTGCAACCCAGCACCCATCAAACAGAGCAATCATTTACTAAAACACAGTGAAGACAGAGGATGGTCACCAAGGCTAGCACCTTGCCTAGATCTGCGCCTCAACCCATTTTGACCACCCAAAGAAAATCCCACTGCTGCAGACATTCGTCCATAGGTATTCCAGCTTGTAATGATGTGGGAGAGCAGCACTCAGGGAATCCTTGTGCACGTTTGAAGCTCTTGACCTTGGTCCTCTCCATTTGCTGCATCTTAAACAGGATGATGTGATTAGAAAAGTTCAAGTCCAAGATCCATGTCAGCTTTCCAGAGCAGCCCCTCAATGTGTGCTTGCCTTACGCCAAGAGCAGGCTCTGAATATGTGCATGTTTGTGTTAAGATGACCACATTAAATTTAAGCAGAAATAAATGGTAATTTAACTGGCACACTCACACAAGGATGACATGATATCTAAAGCTTTGTGGCTGCTATTAAATTTGTTGTCCCTGTTAATTTGTGAGCAAGAGGATAATGAAAAACTGGTAACTAAAGTTGACATAAAAAGTCAGAGAAATACAGTTGGCAAGGGTAATTTTATGCACTGTCAAAGTGAAAAGGCTTGGCTAAATGTACATAGGTAAAGATACACAGTCATCTTAATGAGTTATTAAAAGATGGATTTCTAATAATTGAATCATGACTCTTGTCACATTAGTATTTGTTTAATATCTCTAGCTTTGATTGAATCTTGTTTTGCGTTCTGATTTAGGCTATTGGTTCAAATAACTCAAAGTGATGAGCGTGAATCTTGTTATCCTATTACCTCCTCAGCTTCTTGTTTTCAGTGAATACTTCTCTCACTGAAGTACACAATGTTGAGACTGGCACAAGTCTCTCCTTCTTCACAGTCCTCAAATTTGCCCACATCATATTAATCTATTGTCTCTTGCAGCTTCAATTCCTCTGACCTTTCAGAGTTTTCTGGTTCTAATATATATTTTTTAAATAGACGGAATGGGACGATGTTTTAAATCTCATTACAGTGAACAGATTATCCTGTGTTTACATCTAAAACAGAGCTTATTTCTCCCCTTTCTCTGCCTGAGAATTTTTAGGTGCTCAAGTCTGTCTTTAAAACCATCCAATTTTCTCTTATTTTTAACTACAATCATTGTTTTTTTGGGTCTCTTCAATTCCCAGTTCTAAAGAAAGCAACAATTATTTTGCTTCAAACTCATTTAGCCCTGAAGATGAGGAATTTTTCACTTTTTCATTGCTAGCCTGCTCAGTTTATTTCTCCAGTTGTCTAAGAAAGCTGTTTGCTTTGCTCAGCTTCACAAAGGTGGGTGAACCAGAGCGGGGAGACAACCAACTCCCTCCCAGAAAAGCTTCCAAAGCATTGGTTCAAAAACACCTCACGGTATGCCGACACACTTCCACAGGGCTTTTAAAGGTCTCAGGACAGATTAAAAGTGTTTGATGAAATGGGGTATCTAGCTGGAGCTGAGGGTGTGAAGAGGGGTGCCTCCATCTCATTTTTATAAACAAGATTGTCAAAAGGTTGGAAACATCAAAAGATTTTGAACCAGAGTACTGGAGAAATGCACAAGATGCAAATGTGGAAGAGAAAAATGCTTGTTGGTACCTGCTTCTGTCAGTGGTGGTAAAGGGACATCTGGCTTGGGAACATGGACACCCTCAGCACCTGAGAGCTGATGGTAGATGAGACTTTACATGGGCCAGGTTGTCCAACACTTACACTACGCAGGGCAAATATACTACTTATTTAGCTGTTGAGATGCTAAATTTAGGATGCTTATTTAGAAGTTCATGAGCAGGTGGGAAACCAGGACCAGCACTTCTGGTGCAGGAGGAGGGTGAGCCCCAAGAGCTCCAGGGAGGGACCCCATAGCCCCTCACTGGGGTACACAGCAGATGGCATGGGGACGTCATGGCACTCTCATGGCACTGCCCACACCACACTCTCCCACTGGTCTTGACTGCCACAGTCTTGAAGAAACACAGCAACCCCAACCTGTGCATTAAAAACTGCATCAGATTATGTAATATGAGCAAAATGTTCCTCCTGCTACAAAAGTAAGGTAGCAAATATCACCCAGGCACGCTGTTGGTGGGGAAGAAACTCTGCATCCTCCAGCATGTGTGGATATAAATAAACACGGGCTGTGCAGATACTTCAAATGTCTACTAATGCATCTTGTATTTATGTACAACTTGAAGAGATACAGAGAGATTAGTAAATACTTCAAATTGACAGCACAGACATATTTTCATAGAATAAATGATGCTGGTAAGCAGAGAGACTTTCCTTCAGGAAATGGGGAAGAGTTGTCTCCAGTGATACTATTTCCAATTTTTTTCTACCAGGAAAGAGAAAGAGATCTCACTGAAGAAATCATATTTGTTGCTGCTTAGATTTCAGTGTTATTTTTTTAAACCCTCAGATAGGGCACCCATGAAACACACACTCATTTCTTTCAGGACACTCTGAAAAGACTTCTGTTATGTTGCCTGGGCACAATTCATGGTGGATACTCCATTTTAAAAATTACATTTGTGATTTCTTTTTAAAATCCAAAGCTTAAATCTGCAATTTCAGATCTTCCTAAAGAATGAAACCTCAAAATAACAAATTCCTATGAGCCTTTTTGCGTGGTTTGGGAGAACAAGCTCCATTTACTTGCAAACACTGAAAATATTTTAGTGGTATTGGATTTAACAGGCCAGAAACAAAGGTTCTGGAAAACCAAACAGTCTGATTACTTGGTATTTCCTGCAAAGAGAAAAGAAAATAAAAAATAAAAGCCCCCAAATTTAGTAATGAAAGAGCCTCGTCTGCAACCTCATGCTGAATTTTGTGGAATGATTTTTTACTAAGCACATTTTGTCCTGGATTTGGACCCAGTTTCCCAGAGTAGCACGTCTCTTAAACCATCAGAATTAGGGGGTCCTGTCCTTTTCATGCTGAAAACAATAGCAAATCCAATCTAATTCTGCAGGGTCCAGCTGTAAGATTCTTCAGGAAGAAACAAAATTTGACATGTTTTATCAGGTCTTTTTGACTGCTCCTCTGCTGTTGCAGCCTTTGGAACAAATATCCCACATATTCTGGTTCTGTGGTCCTGCTATACCTCCTGCTCGTGCAAACATCCTTGAAAAAAACTAGATAAGAAATGATTATATTAACTTTTTATTTTTGAAACGAGATGAAGAGGAAGAGGAGAGTGAATAAATTTTAATGCTTGCCTCTCTTTATAAACATGGTTATGTAGGAATAGAAGGCACACCTCCAGAACAGCCCAATGCCTTGCAATGCTTGTTGTGGCAGGTCACGGCGTCCCACCGCAGACAATCCGTTGTCTCACGATGTCTCCCCCGTTTGACTGCCACATGGCGAGGGGCCAGCGGTCCCGTGTCGCCCAGCTCCGGGCAGCCTGGCAACGCATAGCCCCACAGCAGCTCTCCCGAGCACGGGGCTTCCGGGGTGCGGTCAGAATGAGGGGCTCAGCAGCCGCACCCCGAGGTACCACAATGGCCCCATGAGGATCCCCCCATGTTCCTGACCACCCGACGGCCCCGTGCTTCTGGCACCGCTCCGGGATGCTCCAAGACGGTCTACGTTCCCCCCGCCCCGCAGTGCCCCGAGGGGGCGTCCCTGCTGCCCCCCCACCCCCGGGGCGGTCGCGCCGCCCGCACAGGTACCGGGATTGGGCGGAATATGCAAATGTAGCGCTGACGTCAGGCGGCTCCGGCCGGGAGAGCAGAAATAGAGCCAGGCCGGCCCGCGCCGCGGACTATCCGCACCGGTCCCCGCCCGATTGGCCCTGTCGCCCCGGCTGCTCTCCAGGTGAGTACCGCCGGGAGCGCCCCGCCCCGCCCGCCCCGCGGGATTCCGCTGCTCTCCGCGCTGACCCGCGCAGCGCTACATCTCCATCTGCGGGCGCGTCGGGGGCCGGGCAGTCGCCCGGTGCCGGTGCCGCCGCCGCCCGCCGCGCCCGACCGAGCGCTCACTCCGCGGGCCGGGCGAGATTACAGGTGTGTGCCCGCCACGGGGCCGGGAGGCGGCGGGGCGGGACGGGCTGCGACCAGGCAATCTCCTCCTCCTTACCTCGCGTCTCGCACCGTAGACATGCCGCCCGAAGGGTGGGATGGGGCGGACGCGGCTGCCACCCCTGAGGCGCGGGGGCCGTGGTGCCGCAGTGTTCGCCCTGCGGGGCCGCCGTCGGTGGGCGCGGGTCCCGCCGCGGTCGCGCGTGGGACCGGCGGTTCCGGACTTGGCCGCTGGGTGGCGCTGTGGGCCGGGCCGTGCAGCGCCCGTCGGGCCGGAGCTGAGGCCCCCGCGCCGGAACCGGCCCGGGGCGGCTGGTGGCATCCTGGGCTGGCTTTCCCAGTGCACTGAAACGCTGGGAATACTCGGCTGCCGGGCGGTGCTGGTCGCTCGCTGTCCAGCTGAGGGTCACGGAAGGGATGGCATCGGACTTCTCCGTGTGTCACCTCGGAGCAAAGCTGTTTTGAAACGTGTCATGGGGGCAGCTTTGAAAACCGAGGCGAAATCTCTGCGGGGTTCAGGAGTTTATTGGTAGTCCTGCATGCTTGTTGGATTGATGCTTCCCAGATTTATTCTGGAGCATTGAAGTGTCTTAGAGAATGTCAATTAAATGAAACCTAATCGAAATTAATAAATGAAATTTAATCAAATGAAATATTTTTAAGTAGCTTTTGCTCAAATGAAAAGTTCGGCTTATACTTAAAGATCAAAGCTGATTCTAATGAGTTCTTAATGCACCCAAACGTAAAGTATTTAACTGCAGACAGCTGACCGAAATAATGATTCGATTTTATTATGTCTTGCCAAAACAATTAGCTTTTCTACTTAATTTTGTAGCTTAGTTTTGTAGCACTTAACAAGAAATTGTGGATGTCAAAATTATTTTGCCAGCAATAGAAATGCTGTTAAGGTAAGGCTGGATCAATTGGGAAGGTTGATGGTAGGAGCTAAGGATAAGATTCTTGTCTGGTTTTAATAGCATCAGTTTGAATAGAGATAATAGTTAAATAGTTATGTCCAAATGCTTTCTTTTTGCTATAGCAACAGTCAGAACTTCAGGTAATTAAGTTTAGCCTCTTTCTGATGTGAAGCTTGTTGGAAATTATTGAAAGCTATTGCAAACCAGTAATTCCTCAAATAAGCTGCAATTTAAGTAGCCCTGAAACAAAACCAATAACTGCTTTTGGTAAATTCTTTAATGTCCTTACAGTCACCATAATTGAATTCTTAAAACTTTTGTGTTGTATAGGAAAAAGTCGTGGGATCACTGCAGGGTCTGGTTTTTGCATGTCACAGAAATGCTTTAAACTGTTTGTGCTCTTCTCCACTCAGATGGCCAAGATGCTTATTTCCTGTTTTTTTTCAAGGTCACCCTTTTTGCTTCAGTAGCTCCCAAACCTGTACCCTAAAACCTGTGCTTGTCTCTGGCTTGCATCTGCTTGCTGTTTTTCCTGGAGACATTGCACTCATTTGCTTTAAATTCAAGGCTCTCCCTCTGTGTTGGTGCCTGCCCAGACCCATCTGGCCTTGGGATGGGGTTTTGCTGTTACCATCGTGTTTGAGCTGCTTCAGATAACAGTGCATAGCCTGGTGCTGCTGTACTTGTGGAGTGGTTCTTGCTAGAGCAGTACCAGCTGCAAGGGAAGCTGGAAGGCTGTTCCTGCTCAGAGGAGGAAACCACAACCTTCGGGTAAACTTTCTGGTCTTGCATAGTATATTCTTTATTACAAGGGCCAATATTTATTCTTTCTTTTGAGTACAACTGCTTGTTTTATGTGGACATTTCCATAGGCAAACTTTGATTTCTCTGGACAGCGATGTCCACACAAGCTCAAATCCAGCAAATCTGTATCTCCCTCAAGTGAGGAAAGGAAATGGATAGTAAAACTTGCCTGAGCTAACAGTGGTGGTCTGGATCTATTCAACCAATTTGGGTTTTTCTGTTGACTTCAGGGAACTTTTAATCTGCAATCTGGTAGCTATATTGTATGGTGTACCTGCAGATTGGATTCTGCAAGGAGCCTTCTCTTTAGCTCAGGGTAAGGCAGCACTGAGCTGTGGTTTAGGATGCCAAGTGACATGAAAATGCTGTGTGACTCCAGAGTAAGCTCTCAGTTGATATTTATGGTACGTATTTGTTGTTTGGTTGAGGCTGTTAAGATATATAATGTGTGTTAATGTGTCCTCCTCTACTGTGACTGAGAGCAATTAGCGTGCTGTTAGCATGCAATAAAAATAAGCGATTTCTAAGCTGACTAATGATGTTCTAGAAATTCTATTTATAAAGCAACCAGAGTTTCTATCAGGTAGAGCCTGCTCTTTCAGTTTCATCAGTGTTAGAGATCCTAATCCAAATACCTTCGTGCGTTCTGTCAGTTATTTACTAAGTATACATCAAACTAGTGATTTCCCTGTTTTGCTCCAGGATTGTAATTTCAAGCAGGATATGATTCAGAGACCTCTAGAATTGCAAAGTTATTTGCTGTGATGGCATCAGCTGAGCACACAAAATACCTCTACTAAAGAAAAAAAAAAAACAACCCTGTGAGAAACAATGTTGCTGTGCAAGAGCAATTAATAAAGTAACAATATACTTGTCTCTTTTTGAAATAGTGACTTTAGTTTATGAAACATTTATTTGTAGCCCCAGTAACATTACATCTGAGGTTCATAATTGGAATTGAGAAAGCCTAATAAATTTTTATTTCATCCTGAATGCTCTCCATTCAGTGTGCTTATATTAGTGCGAAGAAAAGTCATTGTCTGAGCTCTGTGGGTGCTGTATGCTGTGCTCAATCTAGTGATGGGGTGTCTTTGGGAAAACAAAATACCTGAGGCTATCACTGCTGGTGTAAATGGTAATGGCTCCAAAATTAAGAGTGATGCACGAAGGCTTGGATATACCCTGTAGCAAATGCATGGCATGAAAACACTGTAAAAGGAGTCTTGTCAAGTCAAGGTATGTCATGGTGAGTTAATTCAGCTTGGCTGAATTTTGCCATTAGCAGTTAACCCTCCTTGTTGATATGTATGGCTCAAGCCAGGCAGGCAGCAGCCTGTGCCTCATCCTGTAGAAATGCCATCACTTCATTAAGGGTCATTACGCTTCCTTAACGGGTCCATTTTAGCCTTCCTCAGCCATCTCAAAAATGGTTCCAGGCCTGCATGTTCCGTTGGTAGTTTAATTGTAGAAAGTAATGACACAATCTTGTGTTATTGTAAGTCCAGACAAAGCACAGCTCCTGGTTTAGTTTCCAGGGCACCAGCGCAGGGTTGTTATGTGTGAAACACAGGAGCTCCATCTGATACCAGTTTGAGTACCTGCGTTGGTGTTCTTTCCAAATCCATTAAAAACCTACACAAGACAAGAACCATTGCTCAAAGTGCATGCAGATGTAGAGGAAATCCCTCCAGTTCCCCACAGATGATGTGGGTATGTGGTAGGCTTTTGCCAGGGAAATGGTGCTGCTCTTGAGTGAAGTGAGTGTGGGAGGGATTGGAAATGTCTCTGCTTGGGACAGAGGAATGTGAGTGCAGAAATCACATGAAACATGTCAGCCCTCTTCAGCACAGGATTTGTTTTGTGTCGTTCAAGTTTGGGTGTGTTTGGTGACCATCTGGGCAAGTGTCCTCATCGGGAGGACAAATGACTGTCCTTGTGTGCTAGTGTCAGCTCTCAGGCCTGGCTTACTCTACATGCCTGATAATAACCAAGGGGTTGGCAGTGGCTGTATCTGCTCAAGGCAATGTCCCTGTCTGAGTCAGAGGGGAATAGTGATATTATTTTCTGTCACATTGCTGTGAGACTCTAGTGGCCAGAGAAGCAAAGGTGTGTGTCTGGCATTTTCCTGAAAATCTCCCGAGGCTACAGATGTGACTCCCTACTGTGAGTGACTCTGTGCTGCTGGGGACTCTGGAGAAGGGATAAAATTCACCCTTTGACTTCTGCAGTACCACAAGACCATGTTTTGATGTGGTTTGCTTTTGCCCACAATAGTTACAGAAATCCCAGGACTCTGGTTCTGCAGGTGCTGTGTTGCAACAGGCCGGGATACAGCATGTCCCAAGGAAGATAGTTTTGGGGTAAAACTACTACAATATGGGAATTAATTGCCAATACACTGGAGACTGTAGAGCTCTGTAGACACTGGATGGACACTGTCAGCTGAAGCCTGAGCTGGGTTTTGTTTTAAGATAGTGTTCTATAACTGTGGTGGTTTTTTTTGTTTTTTTTTGTTTTTTTAACAGACTTGAATGAAATGATGACATCAAGGAGCTTTTGGTGCTGTCTTGTATTGCTGGGGGTTTTCCCGCTGGTCACAAGGGAATGGATGGATGTGGACCAGAGCAGAAGCCTGTATTCAGATGCAGGGAGGTTGCATCAAGAGGTACTGTACACCAGCTGCTGCTGCAGCTACAGCTCCTGGGTTTCTGTTCTTGGGCTGTGTTCAGGCTCTTCATACTGCAAACTGAAAACAAGTGTGGGCTTATCCATGTATATTTGTATTAAACACTTCCCGAGGAGGTCAGTGAAAAACAGTGAAATAGAAACTCTTACACTTATTGGGTATGTTGGCACCATCTGGAAGTGAAATTGTGCATCTGGCTTTTGTGGAGATGCTGTCTTTGCCTCAAAGACTTTACAGTGTACTGTGTCCTGAAGCTGCTGACACCGGGGAAGCTAAATTTATCAAGCAAACTGTTCTGGCTCTTCACTTGGGTCAGTGGACATTTAGGTGAAACCTATAAAAAGCTCTTTTGAAGGAAAACTAAGTCATAGGTGGTTCTGAGAGAATCAGCAAAATTATTGCCTAAGGTGTTTCCCTCCAGATTTACTGATGTCACACCTTTCAGAAGCACAGAGGAATAGAAAAGGGAGCAGGGAACAGTGACAGTAGTGAGCGATTATATCCTTCCACCCCAGTGCCCATCTTGATGGGGCACTGGGACTGGGGCAGGACAGCAGTGCCTCCTCAGGGCTCTGTCCTGGGCTCTGGGAGTGGAGAAGCAGCTGAGCCTGTTTCAACTGCTGAAGGTGACAGTGTTGGCTGCTGTCTCAGGGGTGGTAGGGATGGAGCAGTCCCTGTCCCAGCAGTGTCAGAGCAGGCTGTCCCAGTGGGATGCTGAATTTCTGAACCAGAACTCAAGACTGCTTGTGGCACAGATGTAGACTCAGATTTTCACAAGTCTGAGACTGGGACATGTGAATAAAGCCACAAAATACTAGAACTGTGACTTTGTTGAGCTGTAAGTGAGGAATGAATGCTGAAACAATTTAAGTTATTTAATTAGTTCTTGTATGTTCACTAAATGGTTGCTCAAATGTCTGAAAGTGCAGAATGTCTGATGGTGCAGGAGAACAGGGAAAGGACACTTGGCTATTTTTTAGCTACCATTTCCTTGAACACTTCTGTGCTGGCAGACACATCAGTCAGTGCCAGGCTAATGGTAAGCCTGTGAAGGACTCATGTTGTAATTAGATCTGTTTAAGCCTTGGGATTTGGTTGTAGTTTGGAGGATCCAAGCTGATATAGCTTTCAAGTAGGCTAGTGAAACTGAGATAATCATCTTTTGAGAGTACACAGCAGTTACTTTTTCTTGCAGAAAATAGTTTATCCGTAATATCTTTCTAATAATATAAATCACCTGAAATCCTTTTCTAATATTATAAGGCTTTATTCAATTTGGAGCTCCTTATCCGTGAGAAGTTTGTTAGGTTCCAAATTTTATGGTTTGATTAATACATAGATCCATTAATATGCATTTAAAAATACTGAATCACAACTAGAAATGCTCCTAGAAAGTCACTAAAACTGCTTTAAAAATGAGTAAAATGTTAATTTATAGGTCAAGTAATTTTAAGGAGTGCTCTGATGGAAAATTCCTGTGAACCTCATCAAAGCAAATACGTGGGTATGGGTCACTGACCTTCACTAATACTTCTCTGATTTACGTAGGAACAAGCTTACTGAATCAAAAACATTGCTTAATTTATGTTCAGATTGCTAAATCAATTTCTTCATGGTATGTGGTAGAATTATTGCAGTTGTGCTTTGAATTTATTTAAGAAAATAAGACCACAGGGCTTTCTGATCAGAAATCAACCCTCTGATATAACAATGGTGTGTTTTTTCTTGATGCACAGCCTTTCGCCCCTCAAGTAAATGGGGTGTTCCTGAGAAGAGATTTGGTTTTTTGAGTATTTTTAGTCCTGATGAGAATAGTTAATAAATATGTATATGCAATATGAAATTCCAGTTTCAATGAAAGAGCTAAAATAGAAGACCTAATTAAAAAAACACAGCATTAGTGTTTGACTGGAAAGCTGCAACATTCCTGGTTTGTATTAATTTTGCTGACTACTACTGTGTTGGGTACAACTTCTCATAGGCTGGTTCCAGGGGTTGCTGGAAAGCTCTTGAAGCTTCTGGGAATTGCATATGAACTTGGGTGAAGCTTCTCAAGATTGAACCATCATGGACTAAATCCTATGCAGTGGGATAGATGCTAAAATATCAGATATATAAAGCTCACCGCTCTGGGGCATTGTTTTTGGACGAGTTTTTTGCCTCTGCCTTCAGCAAGTCTGATTGCATGTTCAAGTTGGATGTTCTAGAGATGACTACAATTCATGGGCAGCTCTATGCTGGCTCAGAAGGGCTTTGGGTGGTCTACCAAGTGATGTGATCTGGGGTCACCTCTTCCTCCTAGAAAGGAATTCTCAAAAAAATGTAGCTTTCTGAGTCATTGCCAGTGGTAATGAAGAAAGTTTCCAGTATGAGCAGAAAAGAGACAATCAGTCTGGATCTGAAATAACCCTGGAGTTTGGGTTTGGAGGAGAACTTGGGCCAAGAGGTTCTGATGGAAAGCCAGCAGTGCTAGTCTGCTCAGTCTCTACTAGGTAATCCACACTAGTAGCTCAAGCTGATTTTTTTTCAGCCTCCTGGGATATTTTGCAAAGCATCTTATTAAATACTGAAATTTTACAGCCAGCTTCTCTCATTCCCTGCTTTCTCTGTGAGAGATTGATTTCCTGTGTGTGCTGAAGCCAAGCTGGTTTTGTCATGGTTCTTGGGGCAGACCTTGCATCTCCTTTTCTGTTCTAAAATGAGCAGAGCAGTGCTTCATGTCTTCATCTGCCTTTCCAGGAGCAGAGCTCCTCTGACACAAGTTATCACAGAGCTGCATTCTGGAAATTTAAATTCTGTGTTATGTTTTCTGGGGCACTGCTGGTGGGTAGCTTGAATAATATTGTCTAGCCTGATAGTGTGAAAGTGGAGAATAACCCTGTGTTGTGGTACATGGAGAACTTTGTGCTGCATTGTTAAGTATTTGGATGTCACCAAGCTCCTCAGCAGTGGTAGTAAAGGCTGGCAGGCGTTCTGTGGTCTGCTCAGGGCTACAGAACCATAACTGCTCTGTGGTTTTCTAGAAATACTTAATTGCTTTAATTTGGCTTTCACGCTGTGCTTTTTTGCCACCCATCTTCCTCAAGAAGTCTCGGGAACTTGTGCACAGCTTCCCATGCTGCTGCAGGGAGAGGAGCTGTGTCCCTGGGGAAGCTTCTCTGCACTGAACTCACCGGTGATGCTCCAGGTGCTTATTTTTCAAGGCACCATGACCTTCTTCTTCTTGCTGGCATTTGGCAGGTATTGGCTCTGTTGGCTATCCATTGTTTTTGTTCATTAACTATTACTTGAAGGAGAGTGTAGATTTCCATCCCTGGAAGTGTTCAAGGCCAGGCTGGATGGGGGTCTGTGCAACCTGGTCTAGTGGAAGATATTTCTGCCCATGGCAGGGGGTTGGATTTGAATGATCTTTAAGGTCCCTTTGAATTCAAACCATTCTGTGGTTCTATGATTTTATGGAACATGAACTGCTTAAAATCTCCAACTATAAATGAATGGCAAACAGCTGGACTAGACCAGCCCTTCAGTGCCCTCCTGCCCAGAACAGAGCATTTCTTTGAAGTCTATTCACAAGCCTCAACTGTGTTTGTCTAAGAGTATCAATTATTGCTGAAATTTCTAGTTCTATTCAGATTCTTAAATCTTACTGCTCCATATGAAGACCGCAGTAGGTTATTCTGGGCAGCAAGGGACTCATAGGGATGATTTTGGGCTCCTTCCCCCAGGAAAGGCATGTTTCCTAATCTGACAGACTAGGAAAGGATTGTTTTCTGAAGCACTGTAAAGATTGCAAAGGCTTTTGATAAAAGCTTTTTGCTTCTAATTCAAGTAGAGACAATTTCAGAGGATGAGCTTGGAATAAAACAGGTACAGTGTATAAATGTTTTTATACCATTGAAAATCTAATATCCTGGTATTTAACTCTTAATAGTAGTAATGTATTGTCTACCATGTGAGTGTTCTTCCTGCTTCTCAGTTTGGAGAAAGGAAGAAAAGAATCAGATTTGAATTTAAATCTATACAGCCTGTTCCCGTTTCAAGCATTAATGGAAGTACAGGGAGACAAGACTTAAGTTTATTTCTGTATCACTTTGGTATGTAGTGATAATTCACTCCTTGTTACCTGCATTCATGTGGTATCTCTAACAAGCAGCAATTGCTTTTTTGTAGACTATCCTTGTGATAAAAGTAATTTGTGCTAACTAAATTATAATTATATTAGCAAAATTGTGCTCAAAGCAATAGAAAATATTTGTTACAAAGCAAAAAGGAGATGAGTGAGACAAAGCAGATGGAATTGTCCTGATGTTAGAAGGGAGTCGTAGAAGGATGTAGGTTTGACAAGCAGCATCTAGAAATAGAAAGTTTTGACCTTGAAATGGGCCAAAATGGGATGATTCCAGGCATGGGATGTAAAGTCTTATTATGGAAAACATCTGCTCAGTTACATAGTGCGCATGTGCAGGTTACACATCAGTCATTGATGAAGATGGTGAGCCTTCATTGGAAATAAGACCCTCAAAAGGATGAGAGATCCCTAACTACTAGTAGAGCATGTACAACACAACATAGTGACGTAGACTTTAGGAATAGAACCCAGGAGTTTTCCAGAAAATTCTGTATTAACATGTATTAGCATATAGTATATAAATGGGATTGTTAGCCTTGATGCTTTGGTACGTGAGGAAGGGCGAGTCCCTCCTCGTACCCCTGGTCGGGGGGCTGGCCCCTCCTCTGTCGGTTTTGCATATGCTTTATACAAACCTCAATTATACTGAATTACTTACTCCCAAATTTTATATATCCTAAATTATATGTATTCAATACTTTGATGTATTCAGCTCCAATACTTCGATTGTATTTATTTATAATTGTTATTATTAAAAATTTATTACTAAATTGAATCTTGTTTGATAAATTGGACAAATAGAACGTCATTCATAACAATCCTAAATCTTACCAGGTATATTATCCCTGTG